CAGGGATAGATTTGCCAGGTTCCATGTACAGATCTCCATCAAGGTTTAGCTGGTTATTAATGTTTAGATCTCTGTTGTGAATCTCCTCATTGGGATTTATTCTTTTCCTAGTTGGACCCTGCACTCCAGCCCATCTAAAATTATTTAGGAACTGTTTACTCGTCACAAGTTCTTCTTTTTTAATCCCAATGTTGGTGTAAACCTTTGTCATGTTAAAGTTTGACTATTTTAGCCAACAGAATTCATAGTTTGAAATATTAATCTGCAAAGATATAGTGATAAGAAATTTCGACTTTGTGGTGAGAAATATTTTTTTTAACTTGAGTCAAAAATATTTCAGATTGATTGGGTTTCAAGTCGAGACAGTTGCCGTCTTTGGTTCGTTTTTAACCCTTCATGGAGTTTTTACTTCTCTGAGATGGTCTAGCTAATCACATTTCAAAATTGTAATCTCCGCAAGTTTACTTTTTACATTGTGCACAATTTCTAATTTGACTTCAGATTAAAAAGGGATGCCCTTGTGAGTTGTCCATGCTCCATTTTAAATGGTATGTCACTTGAAATTATGCAAACAGTCCCTTTAAATCATTAAGATATAAATATCATTTTTGATAAAGTAATGTGGAAAAATGGCCGGCAATCTCTCACCTTCCAATCATTCTTTCGGTTTTCCTTGCATACTTCTCCATAGTTTCAGGATCCAGTTCTACATCAGCTCCGGAGATCTCATCAAGAGTCTTAGTTTCATCTATTTTCTTTTCTTCCTGGTTCATAGTTTCTAGAGACGGTATTTTACAAACATACGACTAGAAACTTTTTAAATATTACGATCCTAAGGATTATCTAATTCTTCTCTATTGAATATAGTCTTTTATTGGCTTATTCAATGATTTAGCAAAGAAATAAGCAAATTAACAGTTGCAGGGGAACGTGAATATAAGGAAACAGAAAATATGAATTTTGTACAGTCGTCTCTTAGGTCTCATTCTTTGTGGGTAACCCTGTAGGATGTTTAATTCCCTTAGAGTTGAAACAGGAAAGTGTAGCAAAAAATTTGTATTTAATTTGGAAAATTCAAGAAGTTTTATCATTCTAGTGCATATATAGCCCTGGCCATTTTTTCTCAACCCTGATAGGATAGTTGGTTTTTTTTTGCATTGTCGCTTTCTTCTATTAATTTTAATGATTATTGTATTAAAATCAAAACAAGTTTTTTTTAAAAACGTTTTTAACGGATTTCGAAAAATATGAGTGGTGCGCGGCATTCTTAGATAGTTGCGCAAGCGACAAGAGAAATAATCAAATTCAAAACAAATTAGTTAAAAAATATTATAAAATATAAACTATATATAAATGTGGCGAAAGATAATCGACGACTATAGGTTGTAATATCTGAATGATTTGTTTGAAATTAAATTAATTTTGGTTTTAGAAAATCTGAGTTTGTGACAAAATATGTTCTCAATTAATTCTTTTCGTTTATGATCCTTTTTCATTAGCATTTAATACCAGATAATATGTTTTTAATTAATTGATTTATTTTAACTATGAGCACTTGCTCTAGGTACATATTAAAGGTTTACGAGTACATGAGATTTTAAACATAACAATTATATTCATCTTGTTCATGAATATTGTACATACATTTCTTTAACAAATATAGATATTTGAATTGCTTTAAACTTTAAATGCCCTTGAAATGTATTCAAAATCTTAAAAAATGTAAAATTGTAAAAAAATGAGTTTAAGGCTTACTATAAACTTTTCTTGGTGTTTTTAAATTGAAGAAGATCCTTGAAAATGGGCAAATTGACATTGTTCACAAGAAAATAACTTCAGGTAGACAGGTTGAAGATTTACACCTCTTGGATATCTCCGAAATCTATGTTAGGAACCTCAGTTAGAACTTCTTCAATCTCTAGACCTGCTTCAACTATAGTTACAGTCAGATTAATTTTTACATACCGATAAGTTAAAGTAAAATATGATTTTTATTAAAATTTTGCCGCTGTTGTATGTAGCCAGTCTGAAACGCGCTGGGTAAACTACGGTTACATTAAATAAGAAAATACGAGTAATTATGTGTATGCAGTACGATTAGACTAGACATATAAATCCTTGCACTGGTTCAGATCATCCAAGGGTTGGACCCCCCCCCCTTGTGAATGATCGAGTTCCTTCCTACCAAAAAAACCGCAATTTTCCCAGAAACCATGGTTTTCTGCAAACTTCTAAAATTCATCAACAGTTTACCATTTATCTTTTCAAAAATATTGAATTAAAATCAAAAAATTTAATCGTAAGAAAAACTATTTTATTAAAGAACAAAAAGCAATTTTAACGTTTATGTAGTAAGATGGCTGTACAAAGTCTATTCGCTGTTTTTGACCAAATTTAACCTTCACATCCCATTTAAAGCGATTCAGGTCATTGATGAAGTTCCCTTTTTTGAGAGCAATCAAACCACGCCACCTCAAGTCCGATCAGAGCTAATTTTTTTTTCAAATTTTAATTTTTATCTGACTATTCCTATATTTCCAGCTCCAGAGCCCTCAACAGCCTCAATAATTTCCTCAACAGCTTCCAATACTTCCTCCTCGGCCTTCACCTCTTTAGCCTCAGCCTCCAGTGCAATTATATTCATTGAGAGGTCAGGGACAAGTTCATTCTCTCCATCGGCATTCAACTCTACAGATATAATTGTTATTATTATCATTATCATTATTATCATAACTATTATTATTATTATTATCATCATTATCTTCATTTTAATTATGATAATCACAATTAGTGTTGCCAGTATTATCATCATTTTTATTATTATTATCATTATTAAGCTTATTAAGAAAGTACCCAAAGCATCTAAATCTCTTATCTCTGCTGCTCCAGTTGTGACTTCAGCTGCTTCTGAGCTCTCTGTGGCAGCTTCTGTTACGTCAGCAGCATCAGTTGTAGAATAATCCTGAGTAACCTCTTCGATCACCAGAACTTCTAGATCTTGAAAAACAACATTTGATTCAATATTTGAAGAAAAAAGTATTCCACAAGTTTTGAAATCTCAAAGATTCAAACAAAAACGTTTCTAAGTTGAACTGCAAATTGTTTAAGGTTTGGCGAGGTTTAAAATTCAAAGTTGCATCAATGACGTGCACAAATACGTTTTTTCTAGGACATCAAATACCCTTTTCAAAAATCATTTTGAAACTGTTTTGAAATCTCAAAGATTCAAACAAAAACGTTTTTAAGTTGAACTGCAAATTGTTTAAGGTTTGGCGAGGTTTAAAATTCAAAGTTGCATCAATGACGTGCACAAATACGTTTTTTCTAGGACATCAAATGCCCTTTTCAAAAATCATTTTGAAACTGTTTTGAAATCTCAAAGATTCAAACAAAAACGTTTTTAAGTTGAACTGCAAATTGTTTAAGGTTTGGCGAGGTTTAAAATTCAAAGTTGCATCAATGACGTGCACAAATACGTTTTTTCTAGGACATCAAATGCCCTTTTCAAAAATCATTTTGAAACTGTTTTGAAATCTCAAAGATTCAAACAAAAACGTTTCTAAGTTGAACTGCAAATTGTTTAAGGTTTGGCGAGGTTTAAAATTCAAAGTTGCATCAATGACGTGCACAAATACGTTTTTTCTAGGACATCAAATACCCTTTTCAAAAATCATTTTGAAACTGTTTTGAAATCTCAAAGATTCAAACAAAAACGTTTTTAAGTTGAACTGCAAATTGTTTAAGGTTTGGCGAGGTTTAAAATTCAAAGTTGCATCAATGACGTGCACAAATACGTTTTTTCTAGGACATCAAATGCCCTTTTCAAAAATCATTTTGAAACTGTTTTGAAATCTCAAAGATTCAAACAAAAACGTTTTTAAGTTGAACTGCAAATTGTTTAAGGTTTGGCGAGGTTTAAAATTCAAAGTTGCATCAATGACGTGCACAAATACGTTTTTTCTAGGACATCAAATGCCCTTTTCAAAAATCATTTTGAAACTGTTTTTNTTATTATCTATATTCAAACCACTTATATTGAACGCCAAATACAGGGAGTACCAAAAAATATAAGAATTTTGGTGACTAGTATTAGTTGTCGTATTTTCTACATAAAGTTAATTCATTATTATTCATTATATGATGAAACAAAAAAAATATATTTCTCAATAATGATATTTTTCAGTTTTAAATCATATAACATGACAACAAGAAAAGTGTATGCCGGTTTGATTTAAAGATATTTCATTAAACTTTTTGAGAATTCTTAAATAGAAATAGAAAAAAAATCTGCAAAAGTAAATGAGTGTTTGCCACAAACTCTAATGGTTTAATTCCTTTATCTTTGCAACCCGGTTTCGGGGACCTTTGTTATTTCAAACATGCATTCTGTTAGATCAAACTTAGTCTAAGTTTGAAACATCAAAGGTTTGCAGCATCAGGTTGCAAATATATAGGGATTAGCAAATTTGAGTTGTTGTCAAAAACTCAGTTCTTTTTGTATAGTAGTTTTAACCTTTACAAAAATGATTGAAGAGAAATAATTGATTATGAAACAGCTAGAAAGAGGAGGCACCGAGCGCCATTGAAAACTAGTTTTTTAATATTCAAGGAAGGAAAAATATATTTTCAGTTGAGAAAACAATGCAAGATATAAGACAACTGCATCAATAATATAAACTTTAAATGTCACGACATTCACACAAGCTATAAAAAAATTGTAAAAACCCAATATGGAAACTCCAAACATGTTAAAAAATTCTTTAAAGTGGTTTTGCAATTTAATTGATTTAAACAAAACTTGTTAGATTTAATAATCTCCTGTGTTTACTGACATACCAATAATTCCGCGAGTTATCAGTTTTTCGTCAGCACGTCGATAGTTCAGCAGATAATCTGCTATTCAATGACATGTCGAAACTTCAGCGTGTATTTATCAATACAGATACATGTCGCTAGTTGACCAACCTGACGATAGTTTGAGATCATGACGACATTTTTTTCCTCCTCCGGTCCTTCTAAGCTTCTCCCACGTGATCGAAACTAAATAATTCAAGTACATTCTCGAGCAAATCTAATTCTCTTGAAAAAAAATCAACATTCTATAAGAATTTTTTTTTCAAAGATTAGCCCTTCAATACTTTCTTTTACATTTTAATAAAGTTTTGACTTCCATAAAAAGAAATATTTTATGAAAAAAAAAAAATTTTTGGAAGAAAGTTAAAAATATTGTTTTTTAAATATGTTATGTTTTTAACCTCCTGTTCGGTGAGTTGGGGGGTTGGTAAACAAAATACAACATCAACAACAACAACAGAAAGTACAACAACAAGGGAGGAAGAAAACATTTTAAACCTGAAAAAAAGGAAAATTAGAGAAATGGCAAAATCTAACTCCAAAACAGTATTTGAAAACCATTTTATTACAGTCTGAGATACAATTTAAATCCTGCAGTGCGCTTTAAATAATGTTGAAGACAGTGTGGTTTTCTGGCTGTGATTCTAATAATTTATCCATTATTTCTGCAATTCTGCACTTCTGCAGAAGAATCACGAACGAAAATAAACAGCTTTCAAAAATAAAGACGAAGCCTGTAAGGTTAAGATTGTGAATCAGATATATACCACTCTATCAATGGGCACTCAAACCATTTTCTCTTGTTAATTAGTTGGCTGTAAAGTATTTCTAATGAAATATAAGCATGTGTATTCTCTGTATAGACCACTGCCACTGTAAAGTCAAGGTCCATATCTTAATTTTATATATATGTGAGGCTAATATACTACTTCCTCATTCCACACCTTCACCGGTCATATAGATAGATAGATAAACAGATAAGTAGATAGATAGATAATTATTTTAACAGTTACATATATATCAGATTAATAAATTCATTTTAATGATATAAGGTATACTTGTCCTCAGTGGCGTACATAGGGGGGGGGGCAGTAGTCCTCTTGCCCCCCCCTGGAAGGTTCCAGGGGGGGCCCTGCCCCCCCCTGGAAAATACAAAATTAAAATGAAACAAATTTAAAAAGTAACAGCTGACAATGACAAAGACTAAGGATTTGTCTAAATTCACTGTTAACACAAAATTTTAAGATACTTTAAACTAAAACTAAAATTCTAAAAATAATATTCTTAAAAAAATATTTTGTATACAGTAAAAATAATATTTTTAAATTAAAATCAGAAACGAACTATTATATAAATTGATCTAGTTAATTAAATGATTCAAATATGTTCATAAATTAATCATAATTAATATATAAATACAAGAACACAAAATCAACTGGAGAGATTAATTGAGATTACTTCAAGAAATGATAAATTGATTTTGGACGGATTGATTTGCTTGATTGAGTGATGATATTGTGAACAAGAATGAAGGTTATGAATTGTGAAATATTAAATATACAAAACATATATTCAGGGTTTCCTGGTTTCATGTTTATACACAGATATGTTTAATTTTGCCAAATATTACTATTTTACAATAAAAATATCTCGAAATAAGGTTATTTTTTACAGTAATTTTGTAAAAGTTTTTTATTCTTTTGAGCCCTTATACTTTTTAAGTTAATTTTTGTATCTACACAAGAAGAACTATAATGGAATATAAAGACTCTGAGTAAAGCGCCAGAGAACATGTAATTATTCTAATATCTAAGGTTTTAGAAAATAAAATCTCTAAATGTCCAAGATTCTTCTCTAATTTTCTATCAGGTGCATTCATCCAATCCCCCCTCCCTTTGCGTCTCCCTTGCGATGTTCAGATCTATTACTTTTACCGTCCGAACCATTCGTGCATATTTTCTTTATTAAGATAAAATCTGTCATGAATTTATAAAGAAAAAAATTGCAAGCAAATTATTTCTTTGCACTAGTCGTCTTATTTCAAGCCTCTTCTTCAATTCTAACATACCTCCTCTTTTTCCCTCCTCCGCACTGCTCTCAACTCCTGCCCCTCCCAATTGTAAGAACATCATGAAGATAGTTATGTCCGCCCTATGAAAGCCCCGCCCACCACCTTCCATATCTTGTCCAGTTCAAACCTTGGAGTTAACCTTGAAACCATACATTGGCAAGCAGAAGCAATATTTTAAAATCCTGCACTATAATGGTGAAATATTCGGGGATTCTTACAGGGGTGTGCACAGAGCGGAGGTTGTATACAAGGGTATAATCAGGGGCGAATAAAGGGATATAGATAATAGGGGGAGCATGCCTTATACCAACTGTAACATCAAATCAAATCAAAGCAGACTGTGAGGGACGTCCTACTTTTACAATATAAATTTGAAGTGAGTGTACTAAATCTTAATTGATTGAGGCTTTACGATTTAGCTTCAGAATTAGCTTTACAGTTCTACATTCAAAAACAAAAGTTTTTCACTTAAAATTCTCTTGAATTACAGGATTACGTTTTTCCAAGGTTCCAAAAACTTCTATAGTTGGAAATCCCTCCTTGTATTCTCTTATACCTCCTTGTATAACCAAATTCCTCCTTGTATTCCCTAGTCCATCCTTGTATTCCCTAGTCCCTTCTTGTATTCCATAATACCTTCTCGTATTCCCTAATCTCTCCTTGTTTTTCCTAATCCCTCCTTGTATTCCCTTTTCTCATCCTGTATTCTCTAATCCCATCTTACATTCCCTAAATTTTCCATGTATTCCCTAATCCCTCCTTGAATTCCATGCTCCCTTCTTGTATTCCCTAAGTCGCCCTTGCATTTACTAATCCCTTCTTAAATTCCCTAATAAATCCATGTATTCACTAATCCCTCCTTCTACTCTCTAATCCCTCCTTGTACTCTCTAATCCCTCCTTGTATTCCCTAATCCATCCTTGTATTTACTAATCCCTTCTTGTATTCTCTAATCCCTTCTTTAATTCCCTAATACTTCCATGTATTCCCTAATCCCTCCTTATATTTCCTGATCCCTCCTTGTATTTACTTATCCCACCTTGTATTCCATAATCCCTTCTTGTATTCCCTAATCCCTTCTTGTATTCACCAATCCCTCCTTGTATTCCCTAATTCCTTCTTGCATTTATTAATCCCTCCTTGTTTTTCCTAATTCCTTATTATATTCTCCAATTCTCCTTGTATTTCCTGATACTTCCATGCATTCTCTAATCCCTCCTTGTATTCCCTAATCCCTTCTTGTATTCCCTAATACTTCCATGTATTCCCTAATCCCACCTTGTATTTACTTAACCCTCCTTGTATTCCCTAATCCCTCCTTGTATTCCCAAATCCTTTCTTGTATTCCCTATAATCCATCCTTGTATTTTCTATTCTCCTTTTGCATTCCCTAATCCCATAATTTTTCTCCAGGGGGATTAAGCACCCGTTTTGTCCTGAAAACTCTATGAAACTGTTAACCCCNCAAAGAAATAAGATTGTGGACGTTGTGAAGCAAGATTTAAAAATGAAGCTAATATAAAACTGTCTGACAAAAAAAACTTTTTTAACCCTAGCTAATATTATTTAAAAAAATGTCACTGATAATTGATCGATCCTGTGTAAAAGATCTAACGCGCAATGAAAGCAAGAAGAGTCCAGCGCGCACGGAACTAAAACTTGTACTGAGCGCCTTTCAGACTGAATGCGCGATATAGTATTCCTATTTGAGTGTAGTTTGCTTGAGTTGAGGGTATGTTTGTTTCGCTAAATTGTTTCAATTATGCGTACTTTTACCAAAAAGGATTTTTTTCATTGGACTCTGTTATGGTTATTTTTACCGTTATTATGATTATTTTCAATATCATTATAATTATTGTCATTAGTAAGAAGTTGTTTGATTGTTATGTTTAGTTTAGAATTTCGACCGAAACCCCGCTATTTCATTGAGCACCTTCCTAGCTGACTAGTTTGAACTACTGCCGTTTGAACTATTGACTTTTTGAACTATTGGTCGTTTAAACTATTGCACGTGGTAAAAAAAAGTTCGAAAGAGTCAAAAAATAGTTCAAATAAGTAAAAAAAATAGTTCAAATAAGTAAAAAATAGTTCTAATAAGCAAAAATTAGTTCAAATAAGCAAAAGAAATAGTTCAAATGAGAAAAAAATAGTTGAAATGAGCCAAAAATATTTAAAATGAGCCCATGAATAGTTCAAATGAGCAAAAAATTGTTATAATGAACAAAAAAAATCGATAAAATAAGCCAAAAATAGTTCCAATGAGCCAAATAATAGCTCAAATGAGCAAAAACATATTTCAAATGAGCAAAATATAATTCAAATGAGCAAAAAAATAGTTCAGATGAGCAAAACATAGTTCAAATGAGCCAATAAATATTTCGGTAATTTCCTATAAGTAAACGATTTTTTGAACATTTGAACCATCTTTTTGAACATTTGAACTATTTATTTGCTCATTTTAACTATTTTTTGGTTCACTTGAATTATTTATTTTCTCATTTTAACTATTTTTGCTTATTTGAAAGCTATATGCTTTGATTAAAATTTTAACTTAATTGTTTTGCTCATTTGAACTACTTTTTTTCTAATTTAACTGTTTAACCCTATCCCCGCAGGGGTACTTGAAAACCAGGATACGCTGGGGGGGGTCAATTTGACCCCCCCCCTCTAAATCCCATGTTTTATGTCCAAATATGTTTTCAACAGCCTCAGACCAATACTTTTTGAGTTATGTAAAAAAAACTACAGGGGGGGGTCAAATTGACCCCCCCCCCAGCGGGAATAGGGTTAATGCTTCATTTGAACTAATTTTTTGGTCATTTGAATTATTTTTATGTCCATATATGAAATAATGCTTTGATCATGTTATTAACTATTTTGTGATATATCTTTTCATGAAATATAAAAATTTTAAACTGCATGTTTAATAGTTCAAATGAGTAAATAATGTGTTGTTTGAAATACAGGAAATGACGTCATTTTCAGTAGTAAGAATTAACAATAGTTCAAACGATCACTAATTCAAATGATCAATAGTTCAAACGGCAGTAGTTCGGATGCAGATCCACTAAATTAAGGTTTTGGCGTGCATGCGGATGTCCTAAATCTTATCTATACGGCTGTTAGAATCTTTATATATTTAGATTATCTCGAAACCGCTGCGCTTTCAATCGTAGTTATCAAATAAAATTTACTTTTTTTTCGAAATAGCTCACTTAAACATAGACGACATCTAAATATATTGCGGGTTTACAGGATCAATTCAAGGATAAATATATGAAAGGGAGAAGTAATTAAAAATTGAAATCTCTTAATTCTCATGTTTATTGGGACACCCTGTAGATACAATTGATACAATGTGTGTAAATGAAAAGAATATCAGAATATATTCATTTTGTCAATTCTCATGAGTGGATTTTATATAATTATAATCCAGAAAAGATATCTATTATAGTAAATACAAGGATACTTATTTTTGAAGTTGATTAAAAGTGTTTAGAATATGTTGAGTATTTATTGAAAAGAACCTACTGGCCAGTTAAACACAAGGTTATAATGCAAGGAAAGTTTTTTCACAGGTGTACACATCTTTTGTACTGCAGTGTACTGTCTCTGGGCGATAACACAAGACGGATGTCCCAGCCTGACATGGGATCCATCTTTCACATAAAAAATCAATGAAATATTCCGGTCATAGGAAACTATTATGTGAATTATCAAAATTTTCAAAATTCAATGCTTTTATTCTCCTCGGATACTAAATGAACACTTATACACCTATTAATAAATACCATTCGATTCCAAATTTCATTTTTAGTAATCCCAAACCCTTTAATTATTTTGCGAACACCATTAATCTGATTAAAAATGTTGAAAATAACGTGGTTTTCCTGACCCGATTTTTTCCATTGCTTCTTTTAAACAAGAAATGCGCAAGTCACTATAATGCAGAGAACCCGCAAATGAAAAAAGTTTAAATTATGGGTTGCAATGCGCAATTGCGCAATAACAGCGCAAAACCTACTCTGTAGCTGGCTAAATTATCTATAAAAATTTTTAATTCATATTGTTGCATGCCACAACAAGAAAACGTATTGGTAGGACAAAAAATTTTCCAGCGTCTCTGTTATTATGGATATCAGAAGAATTATACACATTTTGCGCATCATTGCAATTAAACCGCATGTGTAGCCATAGCTGTACATTTTCTCAAAGGCTAAATTTTTGATAATTAGTTTTCAAATATATTTGTTATTTGTATTAAAGGGAATTTTTATCATATTTTGATTATACTTTCCTGAAATTGAAAAAAATTAAAAATAACCGTATTCATACTTGTTCAGAGCATTGTCATCTTTGCATGAAGGGTTACAAGAAATTACGTTTATATGATTTTAATTACAACCCTGTTTCTTGGTATCTAAAATCTATTTTATTTATTTTGGAAGTTTTTGTAATAATTACGCTGAAATAATTTTTTTGTCAATTTACTTTAAAATATCATGTTTTTCGTAAAGATTTACGTTTTGCGCAATATTTCCGGTGTTGTACAAATTATTGCGCAAAACAATTGTGCTTCATACGCAAAAGTTTGCAACAAACAATATTAGGCGAAAATTGCAAAAATGTTGTGCAAACTTAGTCATTTCATTGAAACCCTCGACTTGCATCATTGTCAATTAACTTTGAGAGAAATATCTAAAATTCAGAATGATTGGATAAAAAGCATTTTAAATTTAAATGAATGAACTCAAGTTTAACAACGGTAACGTTCGAAGCACGCAGTTTTATGCAATTTGTATGAACACACACGATTTGAGGACTTAAATTTAATTTTTTTTTAAATGCTAGTTTATGCAATTCAATATTACGAGGCTTTCAGGGTGCTTCGCGCTCATCTTTTTCAATTGTAAACATTTTTTCTGTGTGGGCATCTACAAGACTACAATACAATAATAAAAGGTTGCAGATTTTATAAAAAATGTTACCTGGGGCAATGTGCCTCAGGATTAGCTTTCTACAGACTACTTGATGATCCTATTAATTTCTAGAATCTAACCTATCATTAACCAATGTGGTTTGAAAACTACCTTATCGTGCCCAGCCCTATATAAAATATCTTATTGTGCCCAGCCCTATATAAAATATCTTATTGTGCCCAGCCCAATACAAAATATCTTATTGTGCCCAGCCCTGTATAAAATATCTCATTGTGCCCGGCCCTATATAAAATATCTTATTGTGCCCAGCCCTATAAAAAATATCTTATTGTGCCCAGCCCTATATAAAATATCTTATTGTGCCCAGCCCTATACAAAATATCTTATTGTGCCCAGCCCTGTATAAAATATCTCATTGTGCCCGGCCCTATATAAAATATCTTATTGTGCCCAGCCCTATAAAAAATATCTTATTGTGCCCAGCCCTATATAAAATATCTTATTGTGCCCAGCCCTATATAAAATAACAATAGTTGCGAAGTTTTAACAACTCAAAAATTTTAAACTTTAAAAAACAATAATTTTCAAAATCCTAAAAGCTTAAAATATATTGGTTGACAAGTATCTGTAATGTAAGGAGCAGTCTCCCGAAAATAATCAGCTTCGTTTGTCACAGCAATAAAATTTTCAGAATGGTCTTGCAAGAGAGAATCAGAAGAAAAGAGAGATATGAGTATTAAAAGTATATATGAAGGAGTCGAGGTTTTATAGTTTGATTTACATTCAAGATCCATAATCTTAGTTCCTTTGTCTCAAACCAAAGGGATTACAAAGTTTTTTTCGCACAACTAAAATCGTCTAACCTGGGTTATTTGATTTAACAGAATTCATAGTTTAAAATATCAAAGATCTAACACTGGGTTGCAAAGAAATAAGATTGTGGACGTTGTGAAGCAAGATTTAAAAATGAAGCTAATATAAAACTGTCTGACGAAAAAAATTGTTTAACCCTAGCTAATATTATTTAAAATTTGCAACATTTTAAACTATTTTTGGTTCTTATGCATCTTTTCCCGCCAGACATCACAGGTTAAAGATGCGTCTTTTTTAAGTGCACATTTTTTTAACCTTTCACATCAAAGTATCTGTAAAGCTAATGGCAAATGATATCTTAACTCATTTTTGAACATTAGTTAAAACGCAAGAGATAGTTAGGTAACAAAAATAAAGAGCACAGTTGATTTAGCTATTTATAAAATAAAGATATGTTTACATAAAATACATAAAATTTATTGAGACATCACAATTCGACAGCCTCAAACCACCAACACGTTTCTGTCATTAGATGAATCATCTTCATAGTCCATAGAGCCCTAAATAGAAAAAAAGTAATGATCTTGATCTCCATAAAAATTGACCCAAAATATATCTATAGAAATTAAGCAGGTTTCTATCAAACATTCTGTTTATATCAGAGTTCTAAGTGATCCAGAAAAAAATTCACAGGTTTAGATTTCTACCTTTGTCCTGGTCAGTAAATAAGCTCTTGAATTATAGATATAATTGATTGTTAAGAGAAATATCATTTTAACTCGTATCAGTCCTTTCACCTGCAAGACGTGCAATTCTTTAGAAAACCAATCAAATATTATCCATGTTAAGAGCAAAATAAAATTCAAATTGTACCTTTGTGAATCTAGCAAATCTGATTTGAAGTTTTAAGAGGTCAATTTTATTGATTGACAGGCTTTAAAGGATAATTCGGGAAAGATTAGGGACGTGAAGCCAATTTGAGCTAAATCTCTGCTTACCGATAATTCGTTGTAAGCAGAATCTTTTTCATCAATAGTTTCCATCCTTCGTAGACTAGGAGTAGAACTACCTCGGGCAGCAACCTTCATAGAAAATTGTCTAAATAAAATAAAATCCTAACCTGAAAATTCAAAAATAGTCTTTCGATTTTCTTAGCAACAAAAAAGGAGAGGCATTAATATTAATTCAAATTAGTAAATAAATATTTTACCAAAGTTTCATAGGGAACTGTGTTTTCGGACCAATCAAGGGCAACCATCTAAAAAAAAATAGATTTAAATTTGAAATATCCTAACCTAAGAATAAGAAACCTTCATTAACCTGTTAAATAAAACAACAAAGGGTCACATTCATGTGTCATGAAAAAAATGTTATCATAAATTCTGAGAGATAGTTTGTTTTTGTAAAAACAGGATTAAAATACAAATATTAAATATCCATGCCATTTTTAAAGATATATTTGTTAAAGAGTGGTAACATACCTTTGGATCTCTATAATGGCGGATAGTCCTGAAAAGAGATGGGAGCATTCCTTCCTTAGTCCTCTCTCCTTTCTCCCCTCGAGTATCCTGGGGAGCTGGGAACCTGAGTCCAGGAGTAGAACTGCTATATCTAGATGATGGATGAGAGAGAGTAGAATCAGCCTGTGAGAAACCTAGCTCAACAGAATAAAATCCTGGATTCTCAATCTCATTTCTAGCTCCACAGCTTAGAACTGCAACAGGGCTCAGTCCCTGCATCAAAATTATTACAGGTTAATGGATTTTTTTATTACCGAATATTATAAAAAATTCTTGTTGCACAAAACAAGATTGATCTACTTTGTAGCACATTAATAGGCACACAAGAGAAAAATTACTACTATCCATACCTAGCTTAACAACTTGTTCTTAAGTTCAAGAATTCCTCAAAATATTTGTATTACCTGTTCTGACTTATTAAGAGAAGGAATAAGGCCAAAAGATCTGTTGAGAAATTCTGTTGACTTCTTAAAATGTTGACGTTTAGTCACACAGCAGAAAACCACTAGGAGAATACTCAGCAGTACAATTCCAACCAGAAGTCCTGCAAAAAATGTGCAAGATTAAATCCGACTAAATGACACCTAAAATAACTAATGCAAACATTTTATAAGTACTGTGCCATCAATTTCAAAGTAAAAGTTCTATTTTAGATTTTAGCAGGCTCTTGAACACAAAAGTTTCATCATGTTAAAATTTTATAATGTAATGGTTTACTTTTTATACTATAAAAAATGTTAAGTCTGCATAAGCAATCAACCCAAATCTTATTTGAAAAGGTGCAAAGGATTTTTTATTCATAAATTTTTTTGGTATGCAAAATGACAACATTTTTTTAAATTAATTTTTTTCAGCCGAATTTTTGACATTAGTATTGGTTATTTTAAAAGCGACAATGTATAAGAGGTGCTAAGTTAACCTATCAAAAGAGCATTTTTCTCTTTGGAGTCATTTAGGTTATCAGACTCAGTCTTTTCTGAAAACTCGGCAAAATCATCCTAAAAAAAAACATTAAGTCAATCCTAGAGACACTAGATAACAAAAGAAATAGACATTGCTTACAGGAAATGAGAAAATTGACTACGCTTATATGCTAAGAAGAATAATTACAAAAAGAGTCTTTCATGGAGAAAGGGCCATTCCATTCCAAAGAGTCTATCAACTGGACTAGTTGCAAAGATCTCTTTTGTCCAAATAAATTTATTAAATAGGAATAAAACTTTAGTTAAGACTATTATACTGACCTGACATTTTGACCAAGCGCCTTCACCATCTCTAACAATTGATCTTCCATCACCACACACACATTGGGGGTTTATACGACTTGTTGCAAGGCAAATATCTAAAGAATTACAAGATTTTTCTTAAAAGTCTGAGACTGTAAAGACTACATGAAATTCAAGAATCAAGTCATTTAAAAATATATAATAAATAATAATTAACATAGATAATTCAAAATAGTTCAGATATTATATTTAATCACTTTCTGATTCACCTGAACAAGATTTAAATTCACAGATCAGATCATTCACATCCTCACTTTCCCAAGAGCCTAGACAAGAGGGTTAATAAAACACTTAAAATGGAAGTAGTTTTAATTATCTAAAGGATTTACTTAGATAGTAAGTGTGGTTCTTAAGGCTTCCAATTGTCAGCTTTGAAACCTCTCTTTTTTCCTCATGCCTGAACAAAGAAGCATCATGATAAAGGATTGAGAATAAAATTTAAATCTAAAAAGCAAACCTGTTGATGTTGATCCAACTTAGAAGATTAGATCCTTTCTCAGTCCAGTAGAGATATCCATCCTGAACCAACATGCTTGTTGGATACCCAGTACCAAGCACAACATCTTCTAGATATCCTAACTTTTCAGAATATGCATGAATACTATCAGATCCAGCAATATAGAAGGTCTCAGTCTTCTCAGAGTAAGCAAGCAACACTGAGTCATCAGGCAGTTTAGAACTGACAATCCTGGTAAGCATTCCATCAACTGAGCTCACATGCAGACTTGTTCCATCAATAAAGGCTATGAAGTTCCAGCTTTTCATGTAGATAAGCGTCTTCGGGTTTTCACAGTTGAAGATTGTGCGCATTAGTTTGGATTTTTGAGATTTAACAACTATTGATTTCTTTATCTCATCAATCCAGAAAAGATTTTGGTTGTTATCAAAGGCCATCATCTTCATGTTATTTTGTCTATAGATAGCTTGGGATGATTTTGTGTAAGAGTTGACACTAACAACATTTCCCAAGTCAGTATGTACAAACAGATGACCGTTGAAAGCATTTGTTGACATTCCATCAACTATTCCATTTTCAACAACCCCAACCAAGTCAAGGTTTATCTTTCCTAGATTTTGTGGTTTCAATGAATACAAACTCTTCCCAGAAGAAACAATAAGTCCAAAGTTTTGCCTTGAATGCACACAAGTTTCTGCATCAAAATTGAGATGCATATTTTGAGGACATCTGCAGGTGTGGCTACTTGTTGAAGGTATGCAGATATGAGAGCATTTGGCTTTTGAACAGGGGCTAGAATGTTCAATTGGATAGACATGATGATGTGAGATTCCATTTATCCTAAAGGGGACTTCCAAAAGAACTTTGATATCTTTGCCAGTGAATTTATTGCACGAGTAGAGCTTGTAATCATGCCAGTCTGACCAGTAAACAGTATCTTCAAACACAACAATTCCAAAGGGATGGTAGACATCTTTAACAACTACTCTTCTGTCAAACCCATGAATATCAACAGTTTCAATTGAATCTCTCTGTGCATCTGTCCAGTAAACACGGTTCATAGAAGCATCAACAGCCACACCGTTTGGCCAAACAATGTCAGATTTAACAAGAGTGCTTCTGTCAGAGCCATCAAGATTCATTCTTACAATTTGAGGTTTGCTTCCCCATTCAGTTACAAACAGTAATTTCTTCTCAGCATGTACTGCAATTCCACGCAATTGAAGATGCTCTTTAGATATTATGGTGCAATATTTTGTTTCTATGCTACAAGCTGCAATTTGTCCTTTCCCAGCATCTGTGAAGAAGAGTAAGCCACTAGCCGCCTCAACTGTTATGTCTTGTGGATTTTCAAGACCAGTTTCAATAAATATTTCAGCAGTTCCACTAGAATTATGCAGGAGATGTTTTTGTTCCACTACAGATCTGCCGGGTGTAGAATCAGTCCAGAAAAGTTGATTGTTTAACGGATCATATGCTACACCTACAGGTTTGGAAATTCCTGTCACCACAGGGTAGTACTCATGGGTTTGCAAATCAATGGTTCTTATCTCTCCCATAAATTCTTCTTCACTTGCTAGAAACAATTGGGACAAGCCAGAAAATATGCATTTTGTGGAGTTTTTGAGAATGTATCCTTCAGTACACCTGCATTCAAACCCACCCTGAATAGTAAGGAAGTAAGAAAATGCAACCTTTTCTAAATGTTTTAATCACCTTTGTGTTTAGACATATTTGGCTGCATGCACCATACTGCGAGCATTCATCAATATCTTCACAATTCTTATGATCAGCGCTAAGTGTAAATCCAATTTTACAGTAACATTGAGGACCTAAAATTTCGCCATGATAAACAAATTTAAAGAGATTTAATTAGACACTTTTTGGAAATTTATGAGGTTTGATGATTCCAAAACAAATCCTTTTAATCAAACAGCAAAACTGAAAAAACAGAAAAATATTTTTTGTATTTAAAGGGAGTATATATAAAAATAAGTTTATTTTTTTTATTTTCAAAAATAGGGTGTTAAACTCAAAACAGAAATTAAAGCAAAATTACCCTGTGGAGTTTCCAAGCAGCTGTGTTCACAGCCAAATGTTGAACATTTCTTTTCATCACAAATGGGTCCTAAGTTATATTTATGGGGTCTTAATTAATATTTATTATCAGTTAATTAAATTTGGCATAAATATGGAATAAAGCTTTGCTTAATTGAAAGTTCTAAATCTCAAAGCTTCAACATATATTTTGATTACTCTTCACCTTCATCTTCGCCATGGGGACACTGAGGTTTTCCATTACAAACTTGATCTGGTTGCAAACACCTGATTAGATGATCAGAAAATTCATCTTTACCACAAACAAACATTCCCTTGATTAAAGAGCAATTCATTTAAAATCTGAACTAATTTTTTAAATCTTCTGGAGAGGCATCTCAAATCTTACATTAGGGCTGGGCACATTCAGAATTATTTTAAGAGTTTTGTTAACTGCTAATTAAAACTTTTGATGTAGCCATTTGTTCTAGCTAATACTTGTCATCAGATATAAATCCACACCATATAGAGGCTGGATTATCAATCCTAAATATATTCTGCTTTCATTAGTCATTGGTTGAATCCTACGATAATCTACCCTTATTCATCCGTACTGTTTGTTGAAGCGCATGTGTATTAGTTTCCACAAATAGTTTGAAATCAAAGAAAATCTGTGTTTAGTATTATTTGCAAAACTAAAAAAATTGCTTTTTCCACAAATTTTCTAAAACACTTCTTACAAAATCAATATTTTTGGAAAAATTTTTTATTATATTTTTGAAAAGTTTTTGAAATACAATAAAAATATTTATCTTTTTCTTTTTATATATTTATTATTTAAGATCTTCTCTTTTCATTCTTCATCTTTTATCTCTTTCTTTCTATCTATATTTTTATCAGTCTATCTATCTATCTTACTTTTCTTAAAAAATCTCTCTCTCTCTCATAATCAGAGCCAACCCCAATTAAATGTATGATCTAGGGTAGATAACCTAGGGTAAATCCACTCATGCGGGTAGATAATATAGGGTAAATCCACCCATGCGGGTATGATAATCTAGCCTTAAATCCACCACCTAGCAGGATTTATTAATCTTACGAATTGGCTTTAATGAAGTGGTGGCCTATTCTCTTTAAGTTAACAAATTAGAGATCTAAATTTTATCAACAGTATTGGAAGATATTTTAATTTTTGAAACTGCCAATTGTTAATGGAAAGTTGCCCAGCCATAATTTTTTTAAATATTGAAGATAAGATAAGATAAAAAATAATAAAGATAATATTAAAGATAAGTTATCAAATTCCACCTGAGAAGCATTACAAGCATGGTGCCTGACAAGATTACCACAACCAGTCTCATCACTACCATCCTTACAGTCGGGGGACCCATCACACACGAATCTAAAATTCAGCAAGATTAGAAATAATTTGGTATTCATAAAACTGCTATTTTCGCTGGTATTCATCAAACTGCTATTTTCGCTAACTCATATTTCTTACAATTGTAATCTGTATAGCAGTATGCTTGTTCCTGCAAAGAATTTCACTATTTTTTCTCTATTCATGACAATTGCTTGCAAAAATACTCTAAATCCAAATTCTGATCCAAAAACATAGCCATGCCACAGCTCCAAGTTAGATCCCAATTACCTTTTGGGCATACAGGTGCCCTCTGAATCACTGCATCTATAATTAGGTTCAGGACAGCCATGGTCTGGTACTCCTTGTCCCAGTCCAGGACAATCCTCTTCATCCTCTTCTCGTTGACAGTCAGGTTCACCATTACATAGAAATGAATTAGGGATACAGGTTCCTTCTGCACACCTGAACAAATTTCAGGACTTAGCATGTTGAACGTCAATTTTTAACTTGGTGAGGCTAAGTGGATACTATTACTGAATAAAACATTATTTGACTCTAAATTGAAGTTTTCAAAATTAAATGTTGATGTTTTTATGCAGCTGAAATATTAAAATTATAGAAGTTTAGTTCTTTCTTGAATATTAATAAAAAGTTAAGATTAGCTATTTCTTCAAATTTACAATGCGTGAGCGTGGTACTTAAAAAGCCGAAAATATAGCATACTTAAAGTAGTTTTCAGGGCAAAGATGTTCAGTCTTGAAGCTTGGACAATGTGCTTCATCAGTCCTATCCTGACAATCATTAAATCCATCACAATAAAAAATATTGGACATGCAGAGCCCATCACAGAGAAATTCTTCTTCATTACAACCTAAACAGAGTAATGATTATGTTGTGACTTGTAGCTGGTACAAAAAGATAAAAGGTCACAGTAGAGTAATGATTTACGGTCTCAAGTCAAGAGGTTGAAGGACAAAGGTCCCAGTTCAGGAAATAAGATATTAGGTCCCAGTTAGCAAATAAGATTAAAGGTCCCAGTTAAGCAAATAAGATTCAAGGTCCCAGTTAAGCAAATAAGATTCAAGGTCCCAGTTAAGCAAATAAGATTAAAAGTCCCAGTTAAGCAAACAAGATTAAAGGTCCTGGTTAAGCAAACAAGATTAAAGGTCCCAGTTAAGCAAACAAGATTCAAGGTGCCAGTTAAGCAAACAAGATTAAAGGTCCCAGTTAAGTAAATAAGATTCAAGGTCCCAGTTAATCAAAAAAGATTCAAGGTCCCAGTTAATCAAAAAAGATTCAAGGTCCCAGTTAATCAAAAAAGATTCAAGGTCCCAGTTAATCAAAAAAGATTAAAGGTCCCAGTTAATCAAAAAAGATTAAAGGTCCCAGTTAATCAAAAAAGATTAAAGGTCCCAGTTAAGCAAACAAGATTAAAGGTCCCAGTTCAGTAAGTAAGATTCAAGGTCCCAGTTAAGCAAATAAGATTCAAGGTCCCAGTTCAGTAAGTAAGATTCAAGGTCCCAGTTAAGCAAATAGATTAAAGGTCCCAGGTAAGCCAATGAGATATCCTGGTTAAGACAATAAGACTAAAGGTCCCAGTTAAGAAAATAAGATTAAAGTCCCAGTCAAGTAAGATTAAAAGTCCCACTTCACAAAAAAGATTAAAAAAGGTCCCAATTAAGCAAACAAGATTAAAGGTCCCAGCCCAGAGCCCATTCTCTCCATAGAAAGTGGTCGTGTATTTCACGTAATTTGGGGGACGATATGTTGGCCGCTAGATGTCTCGTGCTAAATTCTTATCGATAATGATAGATATTTCTCCGTACAATTTACGACCAAAATAGGAGACGTCAAGTTGTCGACCAATGTAGTTTATGGAAGGAAAAGCCTCAGTTAAGCAAACAATATTGAAGGTCCCATTTAAGCAACCAAGATTACAGGTCCCAGTTAAGCAAACAAGATTAAAGGTTCCAGTTAAGCAAACAAGATTACAGCTCCCAGTTAAGCAAACAAGATTACAGGTCCCAGTTATGCAAACAAGATTACAGGTCCCAGATATGCAAACAAGATTAAAGGTCAAAGTTATGCAAAGATTAAAGGTCCCAGTTAAGCAAACAAGATTAAAGGTCAAAGTTATGCAAAGATTAAAGGTCAAAGTTATGCAAAGATTAAAGGTCCCAGTTAAGCAAACAAGATTAAAGGTCCCAGTTAAGCAAACAAGATTAAAGGTCCCAGTTAAGCAAACAAGATTACAGGTCCCAGTTATGCAATTAAAGGTCCCAGTTAAGCAAACAAGATTAAAGGTCAAAGTTATGCAAAGATTAAAGGTCAAAGTTATGCAAAGATTAAAGGTCAAAGTTATGCCTTCAGCCAATAAGATTTTAGGTCCTAGTTGATTAAAATCTCTCCCTCTCTACCCAAGGATAGGGTCAATTAAAACATTTTAAATCCCTACTTGAAGGACAGTTGTGTTCATCTTCAGCATGCGGGCATTGGATAACATTGTCGCACTTCTGCTCCACAGGAATACAAGCATGGGAAAATCGGCATAAAAATTCGTTCTCTTCACACCTAAAACAATAAAACTAAGTGGTACAAAAGAAAAGTTCGGTCTCTATAGAGCGTACATAATCCTAGCGTTGGCTCTAAATTACGCACAGACGACACAAAACCCCTGTAATACGACATTTTATTAACTTTGAAAGATATTGTCCTTAAAATTCTTAAAATTTCCTACATTGTTACCGAAGCAAAAGCGCGTTAGTCTAGAATATTTTACCATCGAGCGTATGCAGGAATTTATCCTCTACCTTTTTTAAACATGCCATGGGCCCACTCCAGGGGGAGCATCAGGCCCAATTTTGAGCCAATTCTGTCCCCGCCCCCCCCCCCCTCCCTGAAACTCCTGACTTTCCTTAGTTATTTAGGGGGAGGGGACTTACCCCCCAATCCTGTACACGGCTTTGATTAAGAAATAACTTTCCAAAAAGATAAAATCTCAAAATTTGTCAGCAGACAGAGGGTATCGTTGTGAATCGGATATACCATCTATAGATGTAGTCGAACATGAAACTACGTCTTCACACTCATGTATATAAAGATATAAAGATAAAGAAAAGTCAAAAATATTAAAATAAGATAAGCACTCACCCTAAACTGAGCCCTGAAAAAGAACCCAACGTGGAGAACAATACAAGAATAAAAAGCATTATGAAAAACACATAAAAATTAAACTAAAATATTTAACAGTCGGAGAACACTAGCAATCAAGACGTAACAAAAGTTTCAGTCTTGACGTACAGATTCCGTCTAACTGAGTTTGTTTACATTTTCTTATGTTTACAAACAATCTCTAACAGAAGCCATCAAAAAAATATTGAGTTTAATTTTATTTAATAGATATGGGAAGACAAATATAAATTCTTTTGTAAATTTAAAATGTTATCTCTTTCAAATTGGCCAAAATTGGATCAAATCATATATGTCATTTTTTCAGTTTTGACTCGATAAGAAAAAGGTCTAAATGGTAAGATAGTGAATTTTACTTTATCTCTTTTAATGGTTGGCAACTTTGAAATATGTCAACGCAGATCCTTTCTGTCATTTTTTTTAACAAATAAGATGGTCATGAGGGAGGGAACCCCTGGATGCCTTGAGCCTGCGCAATGCAGATACGAGCCTCCCAGATTTGCTAGTCAGACCGAGCATTGGCCATGCAGCAATTAGCATCCGCAATACATCAAAATGTGCTTGTGTAATACATGAGGTTTTTTAAAACTTGTGTTTTAGGTTTAAATAATTTTTTTTTTAAATTTCGACTTAGTTGCATGAGAGGTTTCTCAAAGATGATAAGTATTTATAAATTATCATAAATAGTGTCTAATTATGACAAATGAAGTCGTAAATAAAACTTTAAACATTTTTAAATAAAAAGTAAAATTTTTGAGAAAAAAAATTTGAATTGAATTTCATTTCATCATTTAAAATCTTTGATTTAAGCGATACTTTTTTTGGAGTTCAAATTAAATCTAGAAAAGAACCTGTAAAATCTTTCCCTGGGATGTTTAGAAAGATGAAAATTTCCCTGTATGATAATTGAAGGACTGCAGTATGGTTTTGGTAAATTATATCGGCGTACTAAGCCTAGGGGTGTCAGAAATGATATTTTTTTGCCTATTTTTAAAAAGTCTATAAAACTTTTAAAGTTTAATTTTTGATAAAACTTTTTCTAAAACTTTCTTAACCCGGCATATTTTTTCTATATTCATTTAGTTAAGAGTTTAAGTCAAAATAATTATTGATAATTATTGCTTTACATCGAGTAGATATCCTTAAACATATCGATGTGAAACCTTTCAGAAGATTCTGCAGAAAATAGTCGCCAAACCAAACAGAATTTTTATTTTGAACAAAAATATTTAGAACTTATATAGAAGCTTTTCTTGGTTGCACTTCATTCTAGTTTTGCTTTATTTTCATTTGTGTAAAACTGTAAAACAGTATAAAAGAGATTCTGTTGATATGGTTTGAAACTAAACAGCTGATGATTCATTAAAGGGAGGAATGGCAAAAACACCAATTTGTTTAAGAAAGTTTTTTATAGATATATGCAATCACCCAGAACAAAAAGTTTTATCAAACTTAAACTTTTTTAGGTTTATGGGACGTTTTCAAAAAAATGAGAAAAAAAATATTTCTGACACCCCTAGGCTTAGTACGTCAATATAATTCACCAAAACCATACTGCAGTCCTTCAATTATCATGTAGGGAAATTTTCATCTTTCTAAACATCCTAGGGAAAGATTTTACAGGTTTTTTGTATCATTTATTTAAAGCTTAACATTTTTCAAAAAAGGTATTGTTTAAATAAAAATTACAACAAAACAATTTAAGTTTAATTGAGAAATATTTCTCCAAATATCTTCCTTTCTGCGTATGAGTCCATGTATGTTTCTAATCATGACAATCAATAAATAACTCTTAAAATCTTTAGTAAAATTCTTATGCCACTTTGTCAAAAAAAAATTGTTAAAATTTGCCATTATACACATAAAAACCAAGATTTAAAAAGCTCTGCTGAATGGTAGAGGCTCGTTTACTACATAGTGGAGACACGGTCTGCATAGAGGAGGATTGGTCTGCATAGTGGAGGCTCGTGGCGTCCAGGGTTTCCCTCCCTACTTCCATACTGTAAATTCAAAAACAGTATGCAGTACACGGACGCCATTCCTTCTAATTACATTGGTCGACCATATGACATCTCTAAATTGTGGTCGTGCTGTGGTCGATTGAATTATCTATCTATCATGAGACAACTGGCGTCCAAATTATTGTCCTCCTAAGTACGACCACTGTTCATACACTTTGCTCGAGAGAACGGGCTCGGAGATAGTAGGACAGATATTTACATAAACACGCAAACAGAATTTGCAATAAGGACATAATTTGATTGTTAACTGATTTGGAAACAAAGAAATGCATTTTTAATGATCAAAAAATGGTTTCAAATATCTTTCTGAAGGTTCATTAATAATATCATCTTCAAATTATCATTACATACAAAAACCGAATCTATGTAAGAAAGTCCCGGGAAAAAAAGTTTCTGGAAAAAAAACCTGGAAATAAAAACTTTGCAAAAAACGTTCGAATTTTCGGGAAACTTTTTTTCCAGGGACTTTTTTGGCGGTTACCACAAAGACCAGATCTCTAAAGAACAACTTTAGTCGAGTTTAAAGTGTATGTATATTTGGGATTGAAAGAATACGTATAATTGGGGTTTAAAATATATGTATATTTGGGGTATAAAGTATATGTATATTTTGGGTTTACAGTATATGTATATTTGGGGTTTAAAGTATATGTATATTTGGGGTTTAAAGTATATGTATATTTGGGGTTTAAAGTATATGTATTTTTGGGGTTTTAAGTATATGTATATTTGGGGTTTAAAATATATGAATATTTAGGGTTTAAAGTATATGTATATTTGAGGTTTAAAGTATATGTATTTTTTGGGGTTTAAAGTATATGTATATTTGGGGTTTAAAGTAAATGTTTATTTTGGGTTTAAAGTATACTATAACCTCGTTGGGTTTAAAATATATGAATATTTAGGGTTTAAAGTATATGTATATTTTGGGTTTAAAGTGAATGTTTATTTTGGGTTTAAAGTATATGTATATTTGGGGTTGAAAGTATACGTATATTTGGGGTTTAAAGTATATGTATATTTGAGGTTTAAAGTATATGTATATTTGGGGTTTAAAGTATATGTATATTTGGGGTTTAAAGTATATGGATATTTGGGGTTTAAAGTATATGTATATTTGGGGTTTAAAGTATATGTATATTTGGGGTTTAAAGTATATGTATATTTGGGGTTTAAAGTTTATGTATATTTGGGGTTTAAAGTTTATGTATATTTGGGGTATATGTATAGAGAAAGTAATAAAAGGGCAATAATAATCCAAAAAGTAGTTTGGTCACCTTCTCTCCTTTAATTGACAAAATTGATTTATTGACAAAATTCTATTGAGAAATATGTTTCTAAACATCTAATTAGTTTATTGTATAATTTTTGATACATTTTTAGTCGTCGTTATTTAATAATATTAAAAAAACGATTCTCAAAACGTATTCACCCAAATGATGATTTTAATGGTCGGCTTTGCGCTTAGGGTTGGTAACGTTTTGATTTTTGAAAAAAACGATCGTTTCGTTAAGAAAAAACAGAGGAAAATCAAAAAACGAAACGATCGTTTTTAAAAACGATCGTTTTTTTAAAAAGTTCGTTTTTTAAAAACTGTCGTTTTTTAAACGATCGTTATAAAAAACGATCGTTTAAAAAAACGATTTTTTTTTCAAAAACGATCGTTATTTTTTAACGATCGTTTATTTAAAAACTATCGTTTAAAAAACGGTCGCTTATCGTTTTTCTGAAAATGATCGTTTTCAAAAACGATTGTTCTTCGTTTTCTAACAGTTCAAAACGAGTGGGTTGTTTTAAAAACGATCGTTTTTTTGAGAAAACGAAACGATCGTTTTAAAAATGATCGTTTAACGAAGCAAAAAAGGATCGTTAAACGATCGTTTTCAAAAAAGATTACCAACCCTATTTGCGCTCAATCTTAGTAATTATACATCATTAAAACGTTTAATATGTCTCAAATGAATCCTAAAAATGTGTCAACAATGCTACATTCTCAGTTCAACTATTATACATTACCGGTCACTCCCTTTTAATACACAATATTTGATTGAAGTCAAAGTACGAACAAATGCTTGTTATATGTTGTTTAACATCTCAATTTTGCCAATTGTAACATCCCATACTTATTGTAGCACGATAATTTGCAATCTACTCGTCACTTGCAATCAGTCTCATTTATTATAAACCTCACTTGCTATCCCCGTATTTGCCATCAATTTACTTGATATCTGTTTCACTTGCTCTTGGCCTCACTTGCGATCAGGCCTCACTTGCTCTCCTGCCTCACTTGCTTTCAGGTCAATTTGTTTTCAGGTCTCACTTGCTCTCGCCACACTTGCTCTACAGCCTCACTTGCTATCAGGTCAATTTATTATCAGGTCTCACTTGCTCTCGCCACACTTGCTCTCCAGCCTCACTTGCTTTCAGGTCAATTTATTATCAGGTCTCACTTGATCTTGCCACACTTGCTCTCCAGCCTCATGCTTGCTATCAGGTCAATGTGTTATTAGGTCTCACTTGCTATCAAAACGTTTGCTCTCCAGTCTCAACTGTTATCAAAGCTCATCTGCTATTCAAAAGTGTAGTTACTATCTAAATACGTTGCTATCAAAATTAGTTGTTTTCTAAATAAGCTGCTTTCAAAAACCAGTTCAAATCATATAATTTTTTTAAAAATTAAACTGGGTGATGAACAGTAATAATTACAGTAATACAGTATGATTCAGAGTTTAAATCTTTATTTAGTCATAATTAAAATAAACGAACAATGCTGTTCTTATATAAACCCAAAAGCATGTTATCATAGGGTCCACCATGCTCCATGCCCGCGCAAAGTTTGCCAAAGAATGAAGAATTCAAAATTTTGAGAAATGTTTCCCTTTTTTGCGAATTTTTAGGGGAAAAAATTGGCAGAAAAAGTCGAAAATTCGATGACAAATGATGATTGATAGCAAAATTGCTGATTGCAACTGAGAATTGATAGCAAATTGGCCTCATAGCAAGTGAGGCTTGAAAGCAAATGTGTGATAGCAGTTGAGGCCGGATAGCAAATGAGGCTGGATAGCAAATTTATGTGATTGCAACTAAGTTAATAGTAAATGAGTAAGAGCTTGAAATGTTTGGATATCACTGGAGGTTGATAGCAACTGATTTTGATCGCCAGTGAGTTGATAGATAATGATCATTGCAATCGTTGCAGAATAATTCATATAAAATCTTAGTATGATACTACTCAGAAGAGTTCTACCCAAAACTCACATTAAACATGATACTAAATCATTATCAGTCGAAATGTGGAGTTGAACCCACGGTATTCGGAGAACAGTATTCGTCTGCATATTAAATTAACTTTTATATTTTTAACAAGAGATATTGAACTATTCGTACAACAGGGTGTCCCAAAAAACATGGGAATTCAGTGACGAATTCGATATCGTCTTTGTTATGAATTAGCATTGTAATACTTAACTTCAACAGCCATAATGATATTATGTCAGCTAGAATTTATTTTAGGAAAAGGGTAAAAGACTGTAAAGATGTGTCTATGATGTCTCCGCAAGATGAACAGTGAAGACGGACAAGTTGACTCTGTTTGTATACTGCAATTATCTTGTTTTACTAACTACAACCGTATGCAGTCAAAACATAAACAAAAAATATGTGAACATAGCAGACGAAACTCTTACAGATAACATCTTTCTCAGTAGGTATCACTATACTAAATCAAAAAATTATTTGAAAAGACGATATCGAATTCGTCACTGAATTCCCATGTTTATTGGGACACCCTGTATATTGCAGGATTATTCACAAAGGGTGAGACAGAAGAGACAACAGTTAGATGTGTTGGGTCTTTGATAATTAGTTGAATGTTCCCTGTAGCTGTAAATTTTAAAATGTAAAATTTTGAGAATTTCGTCAGAGGGGTCAGAGGTTAATCTTTAATTTTATATTTTGAAAGATCCATTAATTGTAATAAAATATGATCTCATGTTTCCAACATTGTAAGATGTAATAGAAACAATTAATGCTTTTCATTATTCATAATTGTAATACGTTCCATTACGACCCAGGCTAGTATTATTTATATTTTATAGAAAATTAAAAAATTTTGTTGAAATAAATGCTCATGTAAATAAAAATGAAAATATGACTAATAACTAAATCAAAAGGTTGATTCATGTAAATATTTAGCAATCACACATGGACAATTTTTTTATGTTTTATATCAATTAAAAAGTAAGATATGTAAATTTTATAATGTGACCCACAAAACCTTGGAATAGGAAGACTCTGCGAGACTCAAATTTTATTATTTCAAATAGTTCAACAAACATTAAACAACCAAATATTCAATGTATATAGGGTGTACAAAGAACTATTTCACTTGTTATGTTGATTTCCAGCGAAATGCTCCACCATGTGATATAAAAGAGGAATAAATTTATCCGTAAATCTGCATGAAAATGGAGATCAATGCTTGATCCCACGATTCAGAGACAACCATTCTGACTTCTGGACATTAACCTAGCTAATATTTATAAATTACATTGCTTTTTAAAAAAAGTTGCTTTTCTCACATTATATTTTCCAAAGCAACAAAAAAGTTATGCGCATTGTTTAAATCAGATGAAAATAAAACAAACCTCTTTCCCTTTTTCGTCTTGAATTTTGGTGAACTGTCCCTTGATTTTCTCAAAGGATTTTTTCCTTTCTTCAGCTTCTTCCTTCTCCCTCTTTTCATTCTCTCCTCCCTCCCCCTTCTCAAACATCTCAGTCTGAATATTTAAAGAGATTGTTCACCAAAACATGTTAACCAAAGCATGTAGATAAAAGTATATTGTTATACATCACTACACATCGATATAAATATAAATAATTTGCGTGTCTGTCTGTCCGTTTCTAACCAATAAACATTAAAACAACTGACATGACCTCAGGGAAGGATTGGGGCCATTAAAGTTCAACGATTTTGTCTGGAAAAAAATGCCAACATTTACATTTTTGCTAATACGCCAATTTAAATAGAAATATGATATTTTTAAATGGTCAGCGCGCAACAGTTAAAAACAAAACTTTTTCAAAGAAAGGGGGCGCGAAACGCCCTAAAAACCTTAATTCATCCTTTGCTTGTTTGTTCTGTTTGTCAGCCGCATTGACGTCTTGTAACTAATAGACGTCAAAACGGCTGAACCGATCGGACCCAAATTTTGTTTGGTAACTGAAATGACCCAAGAAAAGGTTTATGAATGGTAAAAGAAGAAAGATTTTCCCATGGACAAAATTTCAGCATTTATTATTTTTAAATGCCCAAATTCAAGAAGAAAAACCCGCAAAATTCGATTTACAAAGAGACATGCTGCAGGCGCAGCTTAGAGAGCAACGGTTAAAGGGGCTAAAGTTCTCTGAAAGCCTATTTTCCATAGATTGCAGTTTGTTTACACTGTAGAAATAATCAATCACTAAGTATAAGATTATACTGTGTGTAAACTATGTATGATTGCGGGGAACCAATTATCTTTAATTATGTTTACATCCAAACAATCTATATTACATATATATAACGCTTATAAACCAAATTTGACGACTAAGTTTTTCCGAAAAGAATAGTTTATATATGAGAGTGGAATTTAGAAATCCCTCGGTATGAATTTTGTTAGTCCCTTTCAGCCTGAAAGGGAGTTCAAAGTGTACAAATCATGTAAATGTTCACAAATTAAATCAAATCAAATCAAATATTTATTGCACGAAGATTAGAATTTATACAATATAAATATCACATAGAAAAGTATAATCCTCGTGAGGGAAAATTAATCTGGGGGGGCCAGGTTTTCATAATTTTCCCCATAGCTTAGTGACAGGGGGGGGGGAACCTGGACGAAAGGACGAGTAGGTGGGGTGGCAGAAAATATAAATAAACATGATAATAGACAATATATTGCTCAGCTCTATCAAACCAATACAGTAACAAACATTACAAATATTTAATTAAGAATAATTAAAATGATTGAAATGTTTGAAGGAAGACATATCCCATTTTTAATACTGCAAAGAGTTAATGTATATCAGAATATACAT